AGAATACAGCATATTTTTATTTTTCTATTTCATTTTTCCTTGTATTGATATATAATATTAAATATATATAAAATATTTATAAACATTTTATGTTTTTTCTTCAGTGTTTGCATGCGAATAACCAGCGTATACGACATGACCAAGTAACCTGGAAATGAAAGGTACATCGACACACGTATAGGAATAAAAGAAGCTATACCGCTAAGAAGACGAAGAAGAAGAAGAAGAAGAAGGAGAAGAAGAAAACCAAGGAGAACGCGACCTTGCTACATTCAGCTGTGTCATCCTTGAGCCGTTAACGCTCAGGTGGTTTCGATCCCAGGGACGAGCATCAATCATCATTGGTAGTGCAGGTGTAATGTGATCATTGTCACTGAGATAACCCAATACGATATTCACTTACGAATCGTGTCAAGTGACATAACAGAGTTTATCTATAACAGCATATCTAAATGTTAAAAGAAACGGCTACAATATTTGCTTCTTGATTATCATTTTGCGTACAATGTTAGATCTTTGAATAAGAAATATCACAAAGAATAGCTTACACGCTGCAAATATTACATGCAAATTTGCGATTATATATCCTTGTACGTTATAAATTAATTTTCATACTTAATATGAATAATATTTGTATAACTTACAAAATTACACAAAAGACAAATGAGATTATAATTAAACAATAATAAAAATTAATGTTATGTCTTTGCAAAATTTCTTAACAAAGTATAACATGAAGTATTGTATTAATAATAATACATAAGAATGGCAGTGGCAATATTAATAACAATATTAAAATAAAATGATTAATACAATATTATATAAAAATAATATTTCTTTTTCTTGTTAATTAATTAATTTTAAAAATTAAATTATAAAAAAAAATCGAATACGTAATTGATAAAAAACTTACTTTTATTTTATACTTTTACTTTCATAATTACAGGCATCTCGTGATACGTAAATTTAAAAAATTAATTTTATCTTAAAAATGAATATTGTGTCTTATATAGCTAACTACGGCCAATTTTATTAATTTAATATTTTAAATAACAATATTTTTTGGAATTTACACAGTTTGCGCAAAATCAGGCTCTATCTCGCTTTCTTGAGGAGTGACTTGGCATACCCAAGCTATTTCCATATGACTGTGCACATTGTAAATCTGTAAGCGTTAATTTGAAATTAACTATATTCTATAACTTTTCAAATGATATTCATTCTTAGAAACGCAAACCGCTAACGTAGCATAATTTTGTTGAATAAATATGTACATTTATGAACGATTGCGTTGATAGAATACATAATACATTCCTAACGGAACTAAAGCCTTTATAATAATATATGTATATATTTGTATGTTATAGACGTTGTAATAAGACCGAAGTGGATAAAATTATATAAAAATGTACTTACAATTAAAAATTTCCAAAGGTATAGCAATAGATCTTATAATTTACAAATTAATTTTGAATTAAAAACCTATTTAAACTTATTATATTTTACTTATTCTCTATTTACAGTTGAAGTATAGAAAATGATATTAATATCAAAATATTTTCAGATTCCTAAAATGGTACTTGCAGTCTACTGAAGATCACATACTGGGCGGACAAAGAAGTTAAGACCGGCACGTATATGTTAAGTATTTTTAATATATAAGAAAATAAACGCTAGATGAACAATGTGCCGTACAAGAAAGCCCAGTTAATGCTCTACATCTACCCTGTAGATCCGAATTTGTTTGATAAGAGGCGACAAATTCGGTTCTAGAGAGGTTTGTGTGGTGCATACAAAGCAACAGTGATCTTTAAATGAAAGAATATCAATCAAAATTGTACGCATAAATTAAAAAAATTATTGTTATTAAATTAGTATATATTTAAATAGATATTTAAATAGATAAATACTATTCAATTCGATAGATCCTATATAAATTTTAATATTAGTATCATTGATATATTCTCAAAATTTTTATTTATGTAACGAATATAATATATGCATACGAAATATGAGCTTTATCTCGTGGCTATAATATTCATAATATAAATTACTAAAAATTATAATTATATATTTGTGTATCAAGTTTGAATGTATGTCACGTGACTATAATTAGATATTTATAATATGTTGTAGTACATCGTACAGTTATAAGTGTCATGCACAAGTGATTTAAATTGTACGATGTACCATGCTGTACAATTAGGTCTCTAAAAATACTTTTGAAGTCATTTGAGCGTATTGTGGACTAAGTATTAATGACGAAAGAAAAATGCCAAATGTAAAAAGGAATTAATGAACATCATTATGCCCATAAACTTAGTTGCATACATATTGACGTACTGTCAATGATGAACTGCTACGTCTAGCATGACCTGTTGCACATAAGAGAGTTCACTCACATATAATATTAAACTGTATATTCTTGTCGTATCCTTTATACAGGTAGATTCAAATTCTATTTATCTATTAAATAATATCAAAATGAAATACATTATTTGTAAAGCTTAGGTTTGGTAATAAGTAATTTCACAAAGAGAGAGAACCTTGAAGATATATTATTCAAGACATTTGATGACAATTAGATGTTTTTAATAAAATATGTTTAAATAATCTTTTAATACATTATTTTTGTTATTTTTGAACAACTTTTATAATATTTTTTATATTTTTTATAATCATGTAAATAATATAATTTATAAAAATATTGTCTTTTAATGTTATTTTTGACGTACTTACATTTTGCTGATTATAGAAATACATATTATTTGAATTTAAATATTTTATCTTAAAGCAATTTAAATAAAGTCAAAACGATGAAAACAGTAACTTAAACTCAAAGTGAATCATTTTAAAGTTTTTAATACAATTTTTAATCAGGATTTGAATAAACACATATTATACATAATTTTAACTAACTCATAATTTTTTGTAATAAATATACCATGAATATTGTTTAATATTCCAATCTAAAGTACGACACGGTTTTCTTTTATATTTTTATATCACATAATTTTATCATTTTATATTTTTGCAGCAATTATTATTCATTGAATAGGCATCACATACGGATGCACGATTTCTTGAATCTTTCTGTAAAGGCTGAAGCAAATCCATTAATCTCTGATCGTGTTCATATTAAAATGACATGCCAGTCGTTACGCAACTACTCATAAGTGCTAATGAAGTGCATACACAGGTGTAATTACCAATCGAGTGGACTGCCCACTTTTCACTCGTAGTATAATCTAGTGGATAAAAAAGAGTGTTTCATAATGACATGACGAGGAAAAACGCTACTGCCTCATGTAAATCAGCGATTCCCAACTGATGGTTCTCTGCAAGTATGCATTAAAATTTTTCTAAATGCCATAGTGATTAAATTTGTGCAAATTTTTTAAATAGTAAATAGTATGTTTTTTTTCTAAACAGAAAATAATACTTTCGGTTTTTTATTGTTTGCCGTAAAAATATAAAAAAATGTTCATGATGCAAACAACGCACGCACGCACGCACGCACGCACACGCACACATACGCACACACACATACATACACACACATATTGTATAGACAAATGTACCTAAATTAATTTAAAAAAATGTGAGTACAAGTGGAAACAAAATGATTAATTAGCAGAAACAGTTAAATATGATAATATTATAAAAATATTTATATACATATAGTTTTATTTTAGAGTTTGTTATGTTTAATTTTTTATCATGTTAATATCCATATGAGTATTTATTTAGAAAAGTAAATAAAAAATATTATATGATGTATATATAAAATAAATGTAATTGTTGTTGGTAAAAGTATATAAAAATACACAAAAGTATGCAAAATGCACGGAGAATTTATATATATGTTAAGATTAATTACAGAATCATACTTAATAATTTTTCTACGAAACAAGTTTGTCATTATTTAAAACATGATAAATATTTAATTGATATGAAATATTTTTTAATATTTAATTTAATTGAAATGTGTCAATTATAATTAAAGTTAAATACACATTTATTATAATATAGCAATTATGTTAATAGTATAAGATGATTAATTTGTAATCTATCATCTATATTTTCGCAGCTTATCACAATCAATTATTTAAACTAATTTATAAATTCACACCTAATCAAGTGAGTATGTGTTTATATGTACAAAAATATGATCTTTGTAGAACTTGGTAGTTTAATGAATAGAGCATAGTAATCAATGTAATAAAATAGTTAATAACTATTAAAATTGATTTTATATTCCACGAATTCAATTATATAACAAATGTTTATAACAAATCGATTCTATTAAGAAATATTTTATTACACGTTGTTTTAATAATTTCCACTTCGGATTTAGTAATAACTTGATGTGCATGGAACTGATATGAAAGATCCAATCATGCTTACATATTTTTCACGGTGCAGGAAGCATCGATATCAGTATACTTAACTACACGCGAAGCGTACCCTGCAGCAGGAGTTATCGCTACGAACATCGGATCGCGATGTTCGCCGGACATTCACGTCACCAAACTCGCCTTTCTGGTTCGAGTGCCGGAGTCACTCGGATGGAGACAAACGGCTGCACACGGCGTAGATACGGTTGGACGCGTTTACGTACGTTTCCAGGGATCCTCGCGCGAAGTCTCGTCTCGAGTCTAAATCCACATTCGAATGTGCGAGAAAACATAGCAAGATTAATGATTTTGTGTGACACGGAGGGAGAGGGTGCGCAGACCGCCAGCCAGCCAGCCAGCCAGCTAGCCTGCCTACATGTTTGCCTGCCTGCCTGCCTGCCTGCCTACCAGCCTGATCGTTCGCCGACGGCGCGCGACGACGACGGCGACGACGGCGACGACGGCGGCGCGGCAACGGCGACAGTGACGGCGACTGCGACTGAGGCTGAGGCTGAAACTGCGGCAAGGCAGCACCGCGAGAAAACGTGAACTGCGCGGCTTTGCTACTTTTCTCATCGCACATTGTCCATATTTCTCACTCACGCGGCAGCAAGCCGCGACTTACGAAACTATTGACCCGATTCCATGGATTTCGCATCACTTTAAACGACGTTCCTCGATTGATCGGATATAGTGGACCGCAGAAGGATCAATCGGTCGGGAAAGTGAAAATATATCTTATGTGATCTGTTCTTATCTCTCGTTTGGTATGAAGGAACGATTAGTTTTTTTTATTTTGAGAAAGCATACACTGTTCTCTGCGCATACGTAATATTCAATTTCTGACGACGAGATGATCGTTTCCAGATATACTGATTAAGATAACGTGAATGCAGGAACCGTTTTCGCGTTCGCTTAAAACGTCAGATATATATCGGGAGTAATTATCAATTTAATCAACCGAAGGAAGCCAGACCTATCGATTACACGAATAAGAACAAGAAAACGGTAAAAGAAACAATATCTTCGTCGCTTTTTGCAATATGCTAATTATGTCAATTATGAGTTATATCTATCCTTCCTCGGCTTCTAACGCACGGTTATCTGATTAGTTTTCGTAAATTACATCGTTCCATATTTTCTTCGTAGTAGTGATTGATGAATTCTAGCCGATTAACATTCCAGCTTGACACGAGGCATTCATTAGCTGCCGGGATTGTGCGGCGTATAAAAATAAGAACCTTTAACTTGTTTTAGCAATAGATCGAATGCGTTTTCTCTTTGATACGATCAAGAATATTCATACTGTTTAGTAATTGCATTGTTTTACTCGACATTATTTTTTTAATACACTAAGTTAATGTTAATCCTACAACTCTCGGAATCTTGACATCGAGAAGGTGACGTGGACATATAGTAGATGTCAGATGTACTTAAGTATCTTCAAGTCGGATTTTAACGGAATCAAAACGGGGAAATATGAAAGGGGTTAAACTAAACGAGTCCTTTGCACAAACAATGCAAACGAAGGGTATTCGCCCAGATGGATTCATGTCTCTATGACTGATGAGATCTTTTCAATCACGAGGGGGTCACTTTGACGGCGCTTCAAACGTTGCATCGTCTCAGGAAATGAAAAAAAGATATTAAGTATGCATAGGCACGTTCGATATATTTCATATCAACCGTCATTTAATATTCGTTCGATTTAATATTCACACGTGAAATTACCGACAGTTATCATCCAATTGTACGCCGACTGTTCCATGTTAATATTCTGTATCACCAATTTTATTATAATCTTGTTCATGATTATCGTCGAAGCTGTCAGATTAATATAAGGTATGAGAACTCGTTCTACAAGAGAGAATTATTGACGACACGATCAATAATAAATTCGAGATAGCCCTACATCGTGAAATTACGAATGATTTGAGTGGCAGTTATTTGAACCTGATATTACAAAATTGTGAGGTTGGCACGTCCATCAATTCAAAATTGTGATCTAGAAGGTATAACGAATCTGTAGTCGATAAGGCGCGCCGTGGTGTAGGTCTAGCCTGGTAGACGTACGAAGAAGAGGAAGGTAGTCTTTGATGCCTCTGGCCTTCGGTCCAGTCGTGCATCTTGTATCGGACGCGGACAGAAAGAGGTCGGCATAGATCTGACGCCCGCGATGAGCGCCGCTGTAGTATAATATTAATGATGACTCGCTCGCCCCTTGGAAGAGGCTGTCTACTTGGTCTGTCCTGCAATGTCCTTTTTCTTCAGGCACGGATGCACTTTCTTCATAATCGGTTTATGCGCGTACTTCATCTATTAATTTGTCTGGCGCTGTGATAAACTTCCAATTTATACTGGAGATTTTTATTTTGCATATATATATTCAATGCAGTGGCGTTCCCGATTTTTATTAATTATCTCTTAACGTAACTAGTTAATCGAATCCTTCGATTATATTTTCTGCATATATCATCTGTCAAATTGTATTTCAGATGTCATTATGCGGTATACCGGCTTACTTTCTGCTCTAAGTTTCTTTTGAATTTATTGTTTTACAGAATATTTCTGTATATAATTCTATGTAATGTTTTAAAATTGTTCATAGGTAAGATTTTCGTATTACCGTACGTACATGTTTTACAAATTTTTTTCTTTAAAGTAAGATATATATGTGTACATAATCTCAAAAAATGATTTCTTTAAATAATATTTTTACGTAGTTTTTTTTATGTAAATATAATAATTAAAAAGTTTGTTATTCTCACAAAAGTTATATATATATATATCTTTTATATAGTTTTTAACAAAATTAATAGTTTATTTTTAATTTAATCACGATTAAATGATTCTTTACCAATATGGCGGAAGAACGTAGTAACTTGAAGAATACAGACAGTAAAGCATATCCCGCGGGGAAAGATGGCTGTGGCCCTGACCACCTGCTGCCTCTTTGATTCCGCCGCTAGAATCTCATTTAACCGTGTAATCCCGATGTTCATTGACGATGGATCGTCCCGTCTGCCAAGCATTGTAGGTGTACTAAAACATTATACGTTGTCTAATACATCATCGATCGAAAATAAAGAGTAGATCAGCACAATATGCGCTGTTACCAATATCGGAACATCCGGTTGGGCAAAGAAACAATCCGTATAGCATTGTACATGTAAGCGTACGTATGATTGTCATATGTAAGAAAGAAAGAAAGAAATAGCATGAGATTGTTTTTAAAACGTACTAATGTATAATTACCACAATATTTAAGATGTCATATATAGTTCTCTCTATAATTGTCATGTAACTCTTATACGCGATATATTGTTTATATATGTATAAATATTTTAGATGTATGCACCTATTCTAATTTATTAATAATATTTTTTTAACTGAGAAATATTTGAACCTATTAAGACACTTCAGAAGTAATGTAATAGATCTTGCAGAATTTCACTGTAAATTACATGTGTTATTTTGAACAACACAATGCAAAACGAGTAATATAAAACAAAAATTAAAAAATTAAAAATTAGCTTGATTAAAAAAATCTGAACTAGGCTATTTGTAAAAATACAAGCCGTTAAACATAAGTATGCGATATAGTGTTTGTCTTTATGAATATTATAGTTCAAATTTACAAACAAAATAATATATTTATGTTTAAAAATATTATTTGTTAAAATAAATAAAATTTTATAATTAAAGTTATTTGCAATTTACTTTTTAATCTATTCTTTCAATTGATATGATTATACACATATGTCACCTTGCCTTAAAAATTGGATAGTATTTTTTTAAACACAACATGCTTTTGTCTGCTTTCTTGCGTTGTTAGCAAATATAATAAAAAATGTACATAGCAAAATATAGTGAAAAGATTAAAATAATGATTAGTTAATATAACAGAACGCTTACTAATTAATAAACAAGAGATTATATCGAAATGTTCGAGATAACTATTAAGCATAGTAAATTGCATAAATCGTAGTTCTCAATTTTCGTGCAAGACAGTGATTGGGCTTTCCCGACTACCGACAATGAATAGACACTGATTGTTTGCGCCGTGTCACGATTTTAGAGTTGCATTTAATTCAATTTGTGAGTGACTTACGGTGCCTGCCCTTAGTCATCGTGCATCTCGCGCTTTATAGTCGGCTTCTTCTCTGCGTCTCCATGGAGAACCAACTATGAGTAGTGGAATAAAGTGCTTCTTACTTCGCTTAAATTGACATCGCTATCGGTACTGTGTAAGAATGAACATCATCAAATGAATAGTGTGTAAATAGCTAAGTTCTATAATATTAAACTATTACTATCTCTTACTAGTGAAACCAATAGAGTGACCAAACAGTTTAACAATTAGAGTAAATATCATTTTTATACTTTTTTTTCTTTCTTTTTTCCTTCTTCTTGACTTTCGACTACAGCTATGAAAACTTCGTCTAAATTCTAAAGCATCCTATTTGAAGTACAAATGTAAGTGTGTGAACTTCTGTTTTATAACGTCTAATAGAAATACGTCTAATAGAAATACAAAGTCTTTACTAAGACTTCATAGTGTATCATACAGATTGTACACTACAAAGTCATCCAAAATTATTCGCTTCGAGTCCAAATGATACACTTTCTTTATCTTAACATATAATAACGTAAGGTTTTATTTACGGATAGAAAATGAGCAAAAAAAAATTGGACCACCCAAAGATACATTTGCGTGTTTGTCTCTGGCATTTCTGCTATTTGTTTATAAACATAAATCGTAAGGGGATAATCAGAGGAAGTAAAAAAAAAAAAAGAATTATTGTTGAGACTTTCCTTTGGATCTCTGCCGCCGTGGAAAGGCAAATGATTGGTATCACAATAAGACGTGTCGACTGAGGATGCCGCTCATCAAGTGAATCAGCAGCAAATAGTAGCGGGCTAATAAGTGCTATTATTCCGTCGCCGTGACGGTTATACGCACGTGATACTAGGTACGTAAATACGGAAGAGGAGAGGAAGAAATGAGAAGGAGATACTGTTACGTCGATACGGACGAAAGAGAGAGAAAGTTACTGTTAGGCGCTGAACTCCCTCGTCCAGCCGCCGATGACCAAGCATATTCGCGCCCAAGTCTAGACTCGGGCAGACCGCTGGTCATGCAACAGTCCAGGTTGCCCTGAACCATGGTTGAATGGCTATCGACGCACATTGCCAGCTTTGACTGTCCAGTTTCGCTGCGCGGCATTTGGACTTTTCACCACGGAAATCAAACGTAACTAGTGTTATTAATATCTACCTACCATTATGTTCAATCAAATATTGAATTCCATTTCTAATCATGGCAGGTTCGATATACGACAAGATTCATATAAATGTCATATCGTGATGTTGGTGTGAGGTGTTACAGGTTTGATGCAATCCTATACAAGAATATGTAAGTACCAACTACCATATTATTCCGAGTACATAAATGTTAAATGATGTTAGAATCTTTTTTGTATATGGAAAATAAAAGAAAATTTGCTATGACCCTAGCGGAAAAATTTCCTTGATATTATTCCTTTGTGTTTATACTAAAACTAGCATGTGTATGGCAAGCGTTCTACGTGAGCCAGATCACTCGGTATTATCCTGACTATTCGCACAGAACCGCGTAATAGCGGAGATACGAATAGAAGGAAGGAGACGTGGAGTCGTGGTGACCATTTCTCGAGAGTTGCCTTCAGAAGAGACGAGGACGAGGAATGGAGGAGACAAGGATAGAGATCTAGATGGAAAGGAAAGAAATAAAGAAAAGAGGAAAGAAATGAAAGGCTGTCAGAGCTACGGAGAGCAAAGAGAGTAAGAGAGAGAGAGAGAGAGAGAAAGAGAGAGAAGAGCAAAGGATGCGATTGCAGAAAGGGAGCGAGAAAACGGGAAGACGAGAACGAGACGGAGGTCTAGGAGGGTATTAGCCGGTCTGAAGGGTGGATGCGAAGAAAGAGAGTTCCCTCTTTCTTATATATTTTTTCTTGTATTCTCCAGCGTTCCTTGGGAAAAGTTTGTTGTTTGAAGCAGCGCTCTGCCTCTCACCGATCATTAATCATGCCGAGTTTTGGTTTGACTAGCAGCAGCGTCGGCATGGCTCTCTCTCTCTCTCTCTCTCTCTCTCTCTCTCTCTCGTTCTCCCTCCCCTTCTCCTCCTCTTCCCCTCTTCCCCTTTTCTCTCCCTTTTACTTCTCTTACATTCTCTCTCTGTTCCTCCTTCATCTCTGTGCATTCTGCTCCCCTTTCCCCTTTCACTCCCGGTTCGTTCCTGTTACGTCGCGTTCCTTGAGCCAACCTCGAAGCTTTCTGGGGGAAAGAAAGAGGGTTGCTGGCTAAGCGGCAGTGGGGTTGGCTCGCTTCTACCCCTCATCCCAGTTCCCTAATCTGCTTCCATCCTGCTCAATCCCCTGCTGTACATCCCTTTATAGAAAGAGAGGGGCCGCTATACGAGAATATCATAGAAGGGTGCCACCATAGAAAAGGAAAACCCTCGTATTTCGTACTTTTCTTAGCCCCTTAAAAGCACTGTACGCCAACTGGGACCATTTCTTTCTGCGCTTTCTACGAAGGCTTTCTTCGTAATAATAGATTGTAAATCCCTTAATCCTATGCGGCGTTTCACGTACGCCATGTTTATCGTGACTGCCGTCGTAATATCTGTTACACTGCTACTCATCACTTGCATATCTACATGTTCAGCAAAAATGGAAGCTATTTTATAATATGGCAGGAAGGAGAGAATAGAGAGTTTTAATAAAGATTAAATACGGTTTGCAGAAACTCGAGCATTCGCGAACAAGTGAAGTTTAATTAAAAAATAAAATTCGCTTTAACCCTGAATCATATTTAGTTATCTGACACCACACGTTTGGGTGGAGATATCGAGATCGGAGGAAGAATGAGGTGAAGCCATACCTGTGGATCGGTACCTCGAAAGTTACGGGGTCCCGCTGCAGTTGATTAACGATGTGAGCGTCCAGGTCGAGGTGGGTGGCGCATGCCTTTGTGACAGCACAGCCGCTCCTCCGCTCCTCGACATCGCCACCGTTGCTATCACGGATTATTATAACTCGTACGTTTCATCTGCCTTCTTCATCGGCTGTTCGGTAGACATCGAAATGGTCACCGGTTATCGTCACGTTCGTTTATCTACGCGGTGGTTCGAGACCTAACTTTGTACTCTCCGAGAGTGAATAATAAATATGCTTGTGAGATAATTCTGTTATTATTATCAAACTATGTATATTTTTAAATGCATAGAGAATTTAATAAATTCATTACCAAGAATTTTGAGCCTAGACAGTTAAAAAATCGAATGTTTTGGAATTTCGTATTGTGGCAGCCATAGCGATTATTATATGTATATTATATGTGCCAACTATTATGAAATTATAACTAAATTTATATTATTATACATATTTATTATATGTATATATATATATATATATATTTGATAAATTTTATAAACTATCTTAGCCGAATAAGGTCCGAATAAGTTAAGTAAGGCTTACTTTGAAATTTAAAACGCACTTTACCTAGCTAGAATATATATACTTAAAAGATGCACCATAGGAAGTAAATAAAAAGGAGAAAAGAATTAGAACTGACATCAACACGTTTGATTAATAGAAACTTAAATTGTGACAAAGTATATGCATGAGCCATTTTTACAGCAATTCTCTGTAAAGTTGACCAAACATTATTATTTTATAATTTATTATAATACATTATATTATTCAACTTCCTAGCTATTGAAAAATATCAAATAAATCGATTTTCTGAAATAAGTACCTATATTTTTTTAGAAACAATGAACTTTTATTAAATAAGATTTATGTAATTCTTGTTATTGCCATTGTTATCACCACATGTGTGGAGCATACGTGCTAAAGGATAATGATTTTCAATGCTGCTAATTTTTAAGAAGCATAGAAATTGGTAGAAACTTCTAAAGATTAAAAAATTAATTATAAATCAAATTAAAGATAATTATGACATTTAAAATCTTTATGAACCTCTTTTTAGAATTCAGATTTTCATAGTAATAAGATAACCATGCGAGATACCATGCGCTGCTAATATGTAATTATCTTATTTCTAAAATATTTATTTATATTATGTATTAGTAATAGTTTTCACACACATTCATATAATTTGTATTGAAAAGGATCGAAACGTTTGCATTTCAGGTCAGAATAAATAATAAAATTTTGCGTTAATCACGTTAGTTTTTTATTGACAATTTTTTTCTCCTTTTTTATTAGATTTATCTTCAGAGCCATATTTATCTCTTTATTTATAACATTTAAAAGTAGAGTCAGTCCTAAGGAATTTTCTTTTTATGATTAATAAATTTTAAAATTAATTTAGAAAGACAATGTTTATATATAGTTTCTTTATTATTTTTAATTTATATATATATATATTTTTTTTATTGGGTCTTATATTCACATACATGTAATTCAAATGTCAAAGTTTAAAAATTTTTTTTTCATTTACAAATGTTCTATGTAGAAGATATATTTTATTTTTTTGAATAAGTGAAATAAAGATTTTATTCTCATTTAGTTTCAATATCCTCATAAATAGAATTAAAAAAGCGTTAATTAATATATATTAAATATATTAAAAATTTTATTTTATAAATTAATATTGCATATTTTCTTTAAAAAATTAAATATTGTATTTAGTAGGAAAATAAGCATGGTAAGTGTGTGTAATGATGTTATTATATATATAATCAAAGTTTATATTTATCAGTATGTTTTATCAGATAAAAATTTCTATTAATAAAAATTAAATCAATTATACTTACTTAAATTTTTGCAAGCCGATAACTAGTTTTATTTGATAAAACAGACATTGTATTTATTATAAATAACATAATTTAATTTAAACAATAAAATTAAATTATATAAAACTGATTATTACATTATAAATCTTATCTTACAACGTTACGTTACAAACATGGTGGTCCATCACTGAAAACAACCAGACGGAATCCATTTTGCGAAATGAGTTGGGTCCAGCAAGAGAAGAGAAAAGAAGGAAGGCGGGTAAAAAGGATAAGGGTCGATCTGACGAGGGTACCTACCCTATATTGGCAGGCGTGGCTGCGGGCTGCAGGGTGCAAGAGGGTTTTGAGGGATCGCTGATTGGTTCTCTCCAGCGGGATCGACTGTGAGAGAGAACACGAAACCTCGTGAACATGGGATCTATGGGGCTAAAATGTCGAAGGAGACGGAAGCGTATGACTTTTTCTCTCTCTTATGCATTTAAAAAAGGAGTACACAATTTCCTTATTCACATAGCCCTAAAGGGAAGCCCTTTTTAATAAAATGTACGTTTATGCGAACGCTCTTGTGAGGGGATAATGCCCGTAATACGATTTTCTTCGATCCGATATTCTATAAGTTGTCTCTCTCTCACTCTCACTCACTCTCTCTCTCTCTCTCTCTCTCTCTCTCTCTCTCTCTCCCCTCTCTCTCTCTCCCCGCATATTTTGCTTATATTAAATATAGATTAAATAATGTATGTACACATTTTTGATTTATATAATTCCGTTTCTTATATTTTATAATTTGTTGAAGTTAATATTACTTGTGCAATTTTAAAAACTTTTCATGTTTTTGACGTATTCTGTCGTGTATTCTCTCGAAATATCCTTTTTTGATAAAAAAAATCAAAATATTTTTTTGTAATAAAAACTTAAACAAAATATAAATGCTCAATATTGTCCCATAAAAGCTTCGGTATAAAATACAAACAAATTTAATGATTAATTAAGTTAAAATACCAATTATAGTCAAATATGAATAATTTTAAGCAAGAACCGAAATTTTTAGAAGAATGTTATAAGATAACGAGAAAAAATATTTTCTTGTATTATATTTATTTTATATCTCGTTTTTTTTTATTATTATAATGAAAGAAGGATAAGAATAGGAAAAGAAGAGCGATAGTAAATGTTCGTTTTTGATAATGTCATTTGGTGTCGAGTCTGCGAGTGAACTTGGGTATGAGGGACACCGAAGTTTTCTGGGTGACGGTGGCTGGAGAGTGACTGGCGCGATTGCAAGCCTCTAGATAGGTGATTGATTCACTTTGAATGATTAAAGATTGCCGAAAAAGGGCAGAAAAGTGGGGGCTAGCATAGCATTCGATAGACTCATCAAACTTTCAGGGAAAATATTAAAGTTTTCTCTAAATAAAGTAAAGTGAATAAAACGTAATTATTCATTCCAAGAAATTGAATTTCTGGATTAAGCAATTTTGTATTTTTTTAGATTATATGCCAGGCTCTCGTTTCAAAAAATATTATATATAAAATTTATATAACATACTCTCTAAATCTTGTGGAATGAAATCTTACTCGAAGAGACTCTGAAAATTTAACCTGTCTTGAAAAAAATGAAAATACGGCCACTCTTGTTCAAGAATGACAGATATTCTTTTTAGAGTAAGATTTACTCTTTTGAAATAGAAGATTCACTCCAAAGAAGTGAAACCTCAATCCTCAATTTTTTTGGAATGTATACTAGGGTAGATGGAATCTCATTCCAGAAAAAGAATTGAGATTTCACTCCTTCGAAGTGAATCTCATTCCAAAAGAGTAAATCTCACTTTAAAAAACGAATGAAAATCTGTCACTCTTAAACAAGAGAAGTATATAGAATTTATGAATGAAAATAATTAAAAGTATAAGATTAATGAAAGAAATGATTAACTAATTCGTAATAATTAATTAATATCTAATTTTAATAATTTATTAAAGAAAGTGAAATTTTTTTATAATTATTAAATAACAATAATGAAAAGACAATAATGACATCAAAATAGAATTGGCTTAAATATATTTTTGCACTTGACATTTATATTGATCAATTATTAATTATTATTATCAGTTATCAGTTTTAGCTTGTGATGGCTTAAGATGGATTTTGTAAAAATATCAATTTAATCTTTACAATAGTCTCAAATATATGTATATACAATGAATGTAAAATATTTTACAATAAATCTTCTTTTATGAAAATAAAAAAATTTATGATAAAATTGGAT